GAATTGTCTGGACTGCTATTATGTGACCGTGGGGATGCTGTGATAGCTGGAACTTGAATGACCGGTCATACCACTCGTTCAGCGCTGTTGCGCTGTTCGAACAGTTGCTGGACCAGTGGTCCTTAAGCAAGGACCACCTGTATAAAAAGTGAGAATTAAAAGAAGGGGTAGGAGCATTAGATGGATATAGAGGAACATAAAAGGTTAGTATGTGGAAGACTATATCAAGTTACAAAGCATTCTAATATGGCGAACTAAATGCTAATTAAATCTAGTTTACAGCACAGGTCATCATCCGATGAATTTTGACTGTTGCTACACAGAACCTGGCAACATTGTGTGTTGTAGCAGGGTTGGTATCTGAAAGCAACAGAGTGGTATAAAGTTCTCCTGTGTGCCCTGGGTATCTATACAGTTACGGCAAGATGAGGCTAGTATGCATGCCTCTGTAGTACAGGCACAGGAGAAGCATGTGCTGTATAGTTTCTATGTATCCAGGGTGACAGAGGCATTGTTTCTCCAGGTAAGGAACCTTCCTGTATTGGCCTTCAACAACAGCTGAGGGGAGGGCATGACATCAAGCTGGAGTAAAGGCCCTTCTGTGTCTAGGTACTTCGAGTTTAGTTAGTATGCCATAGGGGAGGCAGAGTACCTATTGGATTCACTGCCAAAGAAGTTTGGGGTTCTGGCTAGATCCATTTGGCACTCTGTGTCTGCTACATGCTGTTTAGTAAGTGCTTTGGCCTGATCATATCCCATGCTGAGTAGAAGATGTGGAGAGAAGTCCAAGGATGAGATTTTAGTTGCCACTGCCTATTTCCATGTGAATTGAAAATCATCACTCATATTTAATGGGGCAAGGCCAAGAGGAAAAAGAGCCAATAGTTGAATATGGTCTCCTACACTCTAACCTCTACTTTGATGAAGCCTGTCTGTAGTTACAGGGTGGCATTAGAGACATAATTGGGGACTCGAAGTGCTGATGTTAACAATTTGGATTCTGCCAGTTATAATGTTGCAAAATTGGAGAAGGGGCCTAGCTGGGCTCCATAGAGAAGCTGTGTTACTGACTTGGCTTCAAATCATTTGAGAGCTGCAGGTATGTAGTGGCCACGTTTTGCCTTAATGAATTCAAGGATGGCAGATGAGTTCCTTTGTGCATTTTCAGCAAAGCAGTCTCTGTAGGCTATCCTACTGCTGGCAAAATGAATGATTACCCCAGGTATTTGAAACAAGAGACCTGTGTGATGTTGTGGCCGTCAGTGCTCCAGGAATGGTTCTTGGGCCTTTTGGCAAATGTCATGATTTCAATTTTTTGATAATTGAGTTCTAGCTAGTTTTCCTTGCAGTACTGTGCTAGAGCTCTCTCAGTGCTCTTTTAAGGCCAAGAGGTGCTGTTGAAAGTATTGCTGCATCTGTATAGAGTAGATGTGTCTTCCAGCATGTTCTGGGGAGTGAAAGTCTGTGTTGTGGAGATAGCCCACCAGGGAGTTGATATAGACAGTGAATAGGAGTGTGGCCAATATGAGGCCTAGCGTGACACCTTTCTCAATTTCAGTGGCACTGGTGAGATGGCCCTGGGGGTTACATCTTATTTTGAGTGAGGTCCCTTCATGTAGCATACATATTAAATGAGATACACACCAGTCAGTCAAGGACACCTCCAGCTTTTTCCACAGTTTAGTTTGAGATATGAATCAAAAGCTGAAGTCTATGAAAGCGGCATAGGGGGAAGTTGTGTTGCAGGAGGAGTATTTTTCATTGAGATGATGGAGTACTAGGCGCTGATCAATTGTGGGTTGGCCTTCCTTAAAGCCAGCTTGCTCCTCTGCAAGTATGTTTTCATGTTTCAGCCAGTCCTGGAATTTCTATTTTAGGTGTCTTGTGTAGAGTTTGCTGATTGTGTTGAGGAGGCTAATCAGTCTATAATTAGCAGGTTTATCCTTTCCCCCTTCTTTATATATAGAGACAATGATTGCAAGGCCCCAGTCCTTGGGGACTCAGCCTTAGGTGTCAGTGCAGGTAAAGAGTGAGGCCAGAGTGGGGCCCCAGAAGTCCAGGTTATTTTTAATGGCCTTTGGAGGGATTAGGTATTCTCTTGGAGTCTTCCCCGGTCTTAGTTGGGCAACAAGGTTTTTGTTCTCTGACACTGTCACTGGTGCCCACATTGGCAGGTTTTCTATAATTTGGCCAGGGCATCCATTTTCAACAGAGCTGTCTGTGTTGAGTTCGCAAAAATACGCCTCCCAGATCTCTGGGGGGGATGTGACAGTCCACCATGGATGGGCCACTGCTTTGGGAGCTCAGTGTGATATGCCAGGATGCCAGCATCTAACCCATAGTAACAATGCACCCTTGAGGCAGCAACAGTACCACTCCGAGCCATGGTTTGACAAGGACTGTATTAATGCCAAAAAAGCTCTTGCTACCACTTACCAGGCTTATGTATCAAGTACTAAGCCAACAACTGTGCTGGACCTCCTCTAGTAGAAGAGATACTATATATTGCTGGCGTGCAAGAAAAGGGAAGCCAGTGAAAATAACTGAACGTGACTCATTCAGGCAGTCAAATCCAATAACACATAGATGAGAGCTTTTTCATTATTATCTGTCCCTAACCTGGTCCTTCAAGTCTTCCAACCGTGCGCCCATTGCCACTGTAACTGAATTCATTTACCTTGCTGCTGATTGTCCTCTTCTCTTTCCTGCTATCCTGAAATACACTAATTTCAATTACCCAAGAGGAGATTGTTTAAAGAACAGCACCTCCAACTTCCTTTACAATAGAATTTCTCTCCAAACACTAAGGTAAAACCCTGTTCTAAAGGAGACTAGCCTTATCAAAACTAATTGACATGTAAACAGTTCTGAAACATTGGAGGAACAAAAAAGTCTCTGCTGGTTAATCTTTAAGAACCCTGTTGTAAATTGTTTGTAACATGTGCCTGTCTTAAAAGTGGGAGACGAATTTGTGTCATGATTAAGGTGGGATCAGGATCATGCAGAGGAGAGCACATACTGTATAAGAGGAAATCTTATCAAAGTTAAAAGGGAGGCAGTGCAGAAGACTATAGAAGTTTTTTTGGGGGTGGGGTTTACATTCTTGACTCAAATATATTGCTACCATAATAGTAGCAGTGCTAACTTTTTATATATGTTCCATTGTTGCAGTGAAAGCATCTAGAGAGACAGACATCATCATAATAAAAGGATTTAATGGGATCATTAAAATGAAACTATAATAAAAAGTTTCTAAACGTAGTAACAACATACAACGAATAGTTCAACAAAGCAAAATGCATCTTAATAGCAACAAAACATCTTATACATAAAAACAATAAAACTAGGTGATGTATTGTTTAAATACATCCCAGGTGATCCTGATGAGTTTCAACTGAAGGGGAGCTCCAGAATTGCCAAAGTGCCATAAATCTTGTCTTTACTTATCATTCAGAGATGATCTCAAGAGCAATTTCCATGGTAATTGGTAACCTGCTCCTGATCCACTTAAATCCAAAAATTTGGCCTAGAGGTGCTTTGTTGATTTGTCTGAGCAAGTACAATGGTGTAATTGTAAGGTTTCTTCATGAATTATCCCTGCCACATTGTAAGGTAGTTTTTCTCGCCTTGGTTCACTCCAGATAAATAGTTTAGATAACATGCCTTTTAGTCTTGTTGGCCTGACACTCTGGAAAATGTGTGCCACACTTCTGGAAGTCACTCAGTTTTAGAAGGCTGATCTAGGTCTTAGAATATGTATTCTAACCTACTTGTGTCCACACTGTGCAAAGTCTTCCAGTATTTGTACACTAGTTGTCTTTTTGTTTAATTATTCTGTGTTCTACCATTGAACAATGAAAGTTTTGTTTCTTAGATAGTGTGAGTGGATATCAGGCTGTATTTGTGAGATGAAGAAATGGTTAGAAGGCTTGACCTCTTGGTAAATATATATGATTTTTCATGGATATATAGCAGTTTTGGTGTATAGGATCACTATATTCTGTTAGTAAAGTAAAGATTGTTACTAAATAAATGGTTATTTTTGTAAGTGTTAATATCTTTATTGGTGAAGCTGAATTGGTTGAAATCCCAGAAGGTTATATTTCAGAAGAGTACTGGGTATATTGTAAACATCCTATAAGTACATATTTTCCTCCTTGAAAAGTATTATGAAACTTTTTTTTTTTTTGGTGCCTTCGAGTCATTTTTTTGATTCCTGACAACTGCCTGGAAAAGTCCCTGCAGTTTTCTTGGCAAGTATTTTTGGAAGTGGTTTGCTGTTGCCTCCTTCGTAAGGCTGAGAGAGAGGGACTGGCGCAAGGTCACTTAGCTGGCTTTGTGCCTGAGGTGGGACTAGAACTCATAATCTCCCAGTTTCTAGCCTGGTGCCTTAATTACTACACCAAACTGGCTCTCATGAAAAGAAAATGGCTAGGATTAATATTGAAGCTGAGAAAATGAAGAAGGAAGATGAGGCAATTCATCTAATGTACCACAGGAGGAATGGATCGTGGTTTCATTATGAAATCCCAGGCAAAAATCTGCTTGATAGTTCTACTAAAGCATCACCTGACAACTGAGCATGCTCAGCTGGATACATTAGCATACACCTGCACAGAGCAGTTGAAATATGTAATGTAACGTAAATTTAAATAAAAATGTGTGCCACCCAGTCTTGGTAGAATTAGGCAGCCTTATAAATACAAATAAATAAATATTTCCTAGTTGAATTTGACTAAATGTGTAGAACTTAGTCTAATGTTTGCCATAATTTTGTGTAAATGTTGCCTTGTAAGCATGACAAGATTGTATTTATCTTCCAATATTCATAATGGTGAACACTGGAAAATTAGGTAAATGAATGTTTCAGATTCTATTGCTGTATCCTAGAAAGAGCTTCAGAGTTGATACACATTAATACACATGAAGATATAACTGTATGCCAGTGGGATTTTAACTTGCTTCCTCTTCCTCCCTTTTTCTTTCTTTGTTCATTTAAGGCTTAGCTGTTGGTCTCGGCATTGGAGCATTGGCGGAGGTTGCAAAGAAGAGTCTTAGATCTGAAGACCGCAATGGTGAGTTTTTCTTCGCTGTTAAAACAAGCTCCCAGTTTCTGAACACTCCTTGTTTCTGAACATGGTATAGTATTGCAAGTGCAAAGAATAACAACTTTGAAATAGTCTGCATTTCTTACTCATTTTGAATTAATATTTTAAGGATAATGGTGGTGATGATGCTGTTCATTGAAGGAAAGCAAAGACTGCCTCTTGTCCCTTAGGAAGGAATGGGAAAAAACTGATATGTGGACTGAGAATGAGGCATTCGCCTTTTGGAAGAAATTTTCTGTCTCTTGGCCTTGATCAGTACAAATATCTAACCTGTCTGCTTAACAAAACATTCATGCTGGACTGTCTTGTTTCACTGCAATCCTTGAACTTTATTTTGAAAGTTGTCCTACTATTTTTTCCTCTCAGATTTATGTTTAGGTAGATATTGTATGTTCTGTGTGTGTACACATACACATGTACACATATTAAAATATATCTCTGCATTTTTTTAAAGCTCTTGTTGGTCTTTGAACTAGCTAACGATCAGTCACTGAAGGTTACATAAAATGTATCTGAGATAAAGAAACAGGGTTACTGTGTTCTGGAGAAGCGTAGATAATATGCCTTTACTTGTGCAAGAAGAAGAGTATCATACAGACATTTTGTTGCCACGTGTTGGGCTGCTCACACATATTTTGCCACTGTCAAATTACTTAAACAAAGAATACTTGGACATTGTGAGTGGTCAAGTGTGACCATGGCAAGACTTTGACCACAAGATCCAAGTTGTCTTAAACTACTAAATAATGGGCAGCTATCATCTTTGCAGCAGCTTCTTGAAGAATGTTTATAGGAAAGTAACATAACTAACACAAAAGTAACTTTTAATTATACTTATGCTTGAAACCTGCTACTCCAACAAGAGTCTGTTTTCTGCTGTTATCCAGCCATTTAACTTTGAAAGGAAAAGATACATATTTTATAACAAAAGTGACCATTAAGCCAATTTTATCCTGATTTTGACAAGAGGATGCCTTGGTATTTAATATTTGCAGGATAAGCTTTATAATCATGATGCTATTCTTGGTTGGATTTTTTAAAAAAAATAGCTTTCAGATGTTTCCTTTGAATCAGGAAGCACCTCCCCTCTGCTCCCCTGGCTATTTTCTTTCTAATGGTATGAAATAGATTTTAAGGATTCAGAGCTAACTTGCCTGATTTCTTTGCTGCCCTGGAGTTCCTTAAATTAATTATGTTTATTATTGATGGCATTTATATGCTGCATTTCCTCATATGCTCTCAAGATGTTATATAATTATCAAACAAAAGCATAAGGGATTTGCAACAGTAAAATGGCATTTAAAACTTGATGGGTGTCAACTCTTGTCCAAAATGCTGAGTTTGTAACCTGTCTGATGCCCTGGCTTCTGTTCCCTGCAATAAAGCCATAGCTATGAGCTAAGGGAAGAATGAGGAGTTATTTATTGCCCCCTTATACTGTCACGGTATCTGAAAGAGTCATGAGAAGCAGGCATGCATATTATGCATGCACTTCTGTGCACATTCACTCTACACACAAAAAATGGTGACTTCAGAAAATGGTACAAAGCCATCTGAAAATGGTTGGAAAAGTGACAAGTTCATAATTACAGAATCTGTATAGGCCCAATATGCTGCTGTACTGTAAGTGCATGGATAGAAAGATGAGGCATTCAGTGTGAGTACATTCACACTGTCGGCAGAATCCTTGAAAGCATTTTCTTGGTGCAGTCTGGTTTCGGCAGAACTTTTCCAGGATGTTGGTTGTGCAGTAGTTCTATTTACATTTTCCTGTTTGCAAACACTGCCTTGTATAACATGGCACTCCCTAATCTGAATTCAGGCTGAACAAAACTAATTACAAGAAGTTAAACTGGTGGCTGCCAGCCAATTAAAAGCTGGAGGAATGAGGGCAGATTGAACTTTCCTGAGTTTAGGTATAAAGAGAAATTAATTGTCAAGGGCTTTTGTTTTGTATTGATTTGCTGAACTGTTTACAAAAAAAAGCCTTAGAAATTTTTGTGCAGTTTGCAAGTTCAAAGATTACTTTTTCTGGCAACTTGTAAATACAAACTTATACTGTATGGGCCTTGAATAGAGAGTGCTGTTGAAGCTAGTGAGGACAGATCACTGGTTTTAAGTGTTGGCTCCTGGTTCTGCCACAGTTTTGCTATCAGTGCTATGACTTTTAGAACCAATCTTCTTCAACTTGGATCATCACAGAAATCCATGATTCCCATAATCATGAACCCTTGGCTATGCTGGCTGAGGCTGCTAGGGGTTGTGGTCCACAATTTGATCCAAGATGGGGAAGTCTGCTTTAAGCAAATTCTTTCACTTCAGGGACACTATTTTTTGCTTCCTTTTTTCTTCTGTGCCCATTGGTCTGTGTAGGGTAGAATTTCAAATGATTGGGGAACTTAGTCCATGCTTTCAATGGATATAGCAAGAACAAAAGCACAAGGCTGTATGATCCAAAAAATTTAGTCAGCCTCCATTTGTATGGGCTGCTGCTTTGGGCCTGCATATTTATAGCTGCCAGACCTTGTTCTCTTTGCTGGTCTTGCTTCTCTCTCAGTTGAGAAAAGTAAGGCCTTAAGAATACCAGCCTTAAACATTAAGGGCACACAGAACAGGTATGGAGACATTTTCCCTCCTGCCCAGCTTTGAGAAGACTGAGATGCTCCCTAACAGTGTATACAACTTTAGGGAGTAAAAATATATCCCTTCTCAAGTATGGACCTTTGGGAAAGCTTGGAGGGAGAATAAGACATCATCCTTTTTTATTTAAACTTTCTTATTGCATTATCTCAATAAGAAGGTCATCAGAGAAATGGGGGGATGAGGAGGGAGCACTAGTTTAAAAAAATACAACCAAGGCAATCTAGACTCAGTAGGAGGACATTCCAAACCATTTCCTATTATAATCAGTAGACCATATGCTTTGGAATTCCATGACATGGAAATGTTCTAGAAAACCTGAGTTGGGATCAGAGATGCTTTAGGTATCCTAGGCTGCATTGCTGAGAATATGTATTACTGTACCCAAATGTAATCGTCTAAGAATTTGCATCTGAAAAAAATATGGATAGAATTGCAGTGTTTAGTATGGAGGGGGGTTAGGTATAGAATAGATACACATTAGAACCAGCTATTCTTTGGCTAGTGAATATAACTGATGTATTCTTGTTGTGACTTGGCATCTATCAGTCTATCATATAATAATGGGGTGTTTAATGTTCCTCTCATGCCATCCTTTGGAGCAGCGTTAAGCTGTCTGGTGCCCTCAGATGTTATTTGATTTCAATTCCCCCAAGCCAATAGCAAGTCAGAGCAAGAACTAGGTTACCTTTTGCTACTGTTGTACATAGCTCATAGGTTTCTATGTCATAACACTGCATAATGCCCATGAAAGTAATGGGAATGTCAGTGAAAAACAGTGACCTTAAATTTTGTAAGTTCTCACTTTGAGGCCTGTACCTACTTGGCTTTGTGCTATTGAAATAGCATATTTTTCCATTTAGCTCTTTTTTGTCTTCCCAACTGAGTTCTCCACCTGTCTGTTCTGTCATTCATTCCAGAGAGCTTGCAACTGGAACTTTGCCATTCTCTTTTTTTTCAGGGGCTGATGTCACCTTGTCAACAAAAGCAGTAGGCTTTTTTTTTGTGTGCTTACAGTTGGGTCAAGACATAGAAGCTTCAGGGCTGTTGCTAAAATAATGGATATGTTTTCCCCCTACCTGAATACCTTAATAGCCCTTTTTCTGAAAGTGGAGTTACCGCAAAAGAGTCTTCAAATGAGAAAATCCACTTGTGGTGCAACTTTTGCTGAAATTGGCAAGGCTAGATGCTGAAGAAAAAGAAAGAGTATAGAATCTGCTCCAGAGAAGGCCACATTTTTGCTGCCAGTTATGGCAGCCTTCCTCAACATGTTGGTTTTCCACTTCTGTCTTGTGGGCACCAAATGGGAAAGTTGAATGATAAAATCCTGAATTCTCATATTTATAGCATAGGAGTCCACTTGATAGAGTTTTGTCAAACAGAAGACACACAAAACAAAACAAAATGACAGCAAACAAGTATCCATAATAATACAACATTAAATCAACAACTGACCATCCCAAGGAGCATATTTTAGAAAAAGCTACATTAATTGGAAGAACGTGTGTGTGTGTGTGTTTGTGTAATCTTGATGGAAATGCAAATATTTTAACATCCAAATTCAGTATCTCTGTTTAAAAACAACAATATAGCTAATAAACAGTGGCCAAATTTGATTGAATTTATCTTTCAGTGAGGAATTGTTTTGTTTAGTTTTATCAAAATAAGTGTCCCCCATTTTTAAGCAGCACTGATCCAATGAAAGATGTACTTTAGTTTTGCAACATTTTGCAATAACAATTTTAATGCTCAGCTGAATTTATTTCTTCTGCTGCACATGTATATAGGCATTAGAAAATGTAGACAGTAAGCAGTCTCAGTCTGTTGGGTGGTTTCTCTATTTTCTCCAGAAACATTTGATCAAAGGCAGTGTCTAATTGAGTTTCACTGTGGCTTGTTGGCTTGACTCTAATGCCAAGTTGTAGTTTGCCATAGAGTAGAAAGTTGTGGACCATAGGTTCATGCAAGTGTATGTATATATTCAAGTCTTGGATCCTCTGATTTAATGGCTGTTATAGCCAAATTATTTTAAATAAAGTATGTGTGGGAGAGAGAATGCTTATTTCAAGTATGAATTGCAGATGAGGCTTACTGTGTCTACCAAGCAAACAATGTTAAAAGAGCTTTTTGATTACCACTGACTTTCAGAGCCTTTTTGGTGGGAGATACATAAGTCATGTTAAGTGAAAGGGCAGTGTTTCCAGGAATGTAAAATGAAATTCAATCTTGATACGCCCTCTTGTGTTGGGGGATGAATGATGAACTTGAAGATCAGCCTTATTAATGTTCAGGGGCATGATTTAAGTTTCAGTGTTGCAAAAACAAGTATGTGGTTCTTGAGCCAGAGAATGTAGATGTCTGTGAAGCGTTTACGATTTTGATGAAAAACATAGTGTGATGGATTATATTGCCTCAGAATACCTAGGAAAGCTGCATAGATGAATGCGCTCCCACATTATAAGGAAATGTTATTGCATGAAGCTGAAAGTACCATTAACCAAGAAAAACAGATAATTTAGTTTTTTCTCCTTGATAATGCTTGCTTTGCACAGGTAGGTAGGGAGTTTTTTCAATACGGTGGTGTATTCATACAGAGAGAGAGAGAGAGAGAGAGAGAGTGTCTAGAGGAGAACAGAGATGGCCTTGAAGAATAGCCATTAGGCTACCAACTTAACCTTGAAAGAGAGGAGGGAGTGAGGAGAAAGCAGAAGATTGTCCTGCCTTGCTTTTATTAAGTATGAGGGAATATATTAGAAGTTTTCAAGTAGTGTTCCAGTATACCTTGTAGAGTCTGTTTCCTGACCTGGCCTACCTCAGAGGACTGACACACAGAGTGCAGAGAGTGCCCTGCAGAAAACATCTGATCATTATCCAATGATCCTAGCCCCAAGCTGGCATCCTCTAAATCAGTGGCTAAAATTATTGATGCTAGCTGAGGTTGAACAGCATATCTAGAGGAAGTGAAATTGAGGAAGGTTGTTAAAAACCTTGATTTGTTGTTTGATATTTAGGAGGAGAAAAGAATGTACTGCAAATCATTGAAGAAAGAATATAGAATACAGGAGGTATTAAGTAATGAGTTTTTCAGCTGAACCACACAGTTGAAAATTAGAGTGAGCACTGGTCAGATTATAGGTGATTAAAAATATATATGTTTTATAATCACAACCCCTAAAGAACTGGCAGAATATCTCAATTTGTTGACTTTTCAGTTTGTCCTGGAGTTGCTGCAGAAGGCTTTATAGCCTGGCATATGTTTTGGCTGATCATATCTCAACTTGATAAGCTGAAATATTGTCAAATGTTTTGGCTGCTTATAGAGCCATAAGGTGAGCATAGAAACAATTCAATCTGCTTTATCTGTAGGATGAGCAAATAAGCAGTCTTCCTTAGGCCAACAGTTTTCCATTAACTTTAAATTTCTATTTATACCATTTAATTATATGATTTTCTAACTCAAATACATTGTTAAAAGAATCTCAGTGGGATTTTCATATTGACAAATTATGTCTAATAACCAGAATTATATCCTGTTAACCACTCTTTCCTGGTGGATAAATATAAATATAAACTTGGTCGTCTGAATGGAGTCAAAATATCTTTCTTCAGTTTTTGTAAGGATTATTGTGTATATGCAAAAAGGAAGTAAAGCTTACTGTCCCTTAGCATACTGAAGGTGGTAAAAGCAAGTGATCATTTGACAAATCACAGCTGGAGTTTTAGGTATTATAACTTGGTTGATTATTTATATTTTCCTGCCATACTGGGAGGAGAATTTTACTCCATCTGCATCTCAAAATTTCTGATCAGTTGCTAATTTTCCAATGAATTTCTTCACCATTTATTGATTGGCTTAGCAAGTAGCTATATTAGAAAATAACATGTTTTCATTTTTAACAAAACCTAAATGCAACAAAACCTGTGCAGGGCAGATAAAAATATTTATCCCCCTCCCCTGTTATATTTTTGTGTAAATTGTCCCCTTTCCACCTGTTCACAGCATTAAATGCTGCTTCTTTGACCAAACTAGCATTTTCTCTTGATTAATGCAGTTAAGAATTGTTGGTGTTGTTTTAAGCAGGATTTAAGTTGTATATCTTACATATAATGTGCATTTTGGCTCTTGGCAGTTATGTGGAACTGTGTACTTGAGATAGGCAACTCTGATGTGACAGGGATGCCACTTCATTTCTTCTTTTGCTGATACACTTCTCTTTTTGTTTAGTATTTCAGAAAAGACACTTGACTTCCTTAATCATTAACTTTCTGCTTAATATGTTAAGTGCTGGAAATTCATCTGTTACCAGAAAAGATAAATTCAAGGAGATGGGGGTGGGATGAGGGAGTATGGTATTCAGCTGCAACCTGGGCTGTTACTTTCCCATGCTGAAAACAAATTTACCTTTACTTTCCACATTAATTTTTAAAAAATGGGGAGTTGTGAGACTGAGTTGTTTTGTACAATGTGTTAATGGTGCTAGTACAAAGGGAATCTATATATTGGCACATACTCCCTTAATCTTTTAAATATTTTGCACTGTCTGCTGGTCCCCAGGAAAGAAGGCTATTTTAGATTCCAGCCCATTTCTCTCTGAAGCAAATGCTGAAAGAATTGTGAGTACCCTGTGCAAGGTTCGAGGTGCTGCACTGAAGTTGGGACAGATGCTGAGTATTCAAGGTAAATGCAATAGCTTATCTAGGTTTTTGACCTGCTCCTTTTTAGCATCTTAAGTTCACTGGAATTGAAAGTATGTATTGGGAAAAACAAGGAAGCAGCAAGGATAGGTGAGCACATCCAACAGTACTGGATTATTATTATTGTTAGTTATTAAATTTATACGCTGCCTGAATCCCAATGACTCTGGGCAGTTTACAGTTGTTAAAATATTTCAAAACAAAGAATAGAAACAAAAACAAAAACAGCACAAGACAGAAGAACAACGATGGCAAAGAAAATAAACCCAGAAGGGAACAGAAATTAAGAAAGGGGCTATCAGTCATCTTCTACAAAGGTGTTTCTTTGAAACACCAGCAGGTTGGGAGCTGTTCAGATATCGAGGGAACCTCATTCCAGAAGGCATACAACATCTACTTTAATGTAAGAGCCACAACATCTAGTTTTAGAAGATTGTACATAGCAGAAATGCCTTTCTCAATAATGGCTCAGAGGCTCCCCCCACCCTTAAAGGGGCATCTGTTACAAGTTTTTCTATCATTCCAACAACCTTGATGTAGTCTCAAACCTCTTAGAACCAACTAGAGGCTGGTCCTGCTAAGGCTGCAAGTCTCTACCTGGACTTCTTGTCAGATTATGATACCTGTAGTTATTAACCTCCTCATGTTTTCAAAAAGCTGGATCAGTCTAATCCACTTTTGGCCTGTCCTGTGCTGAGTGGAAAATTATGAAAGGACTAGATTCCCATTTGCTGGAAGGACTTGTAAGAATATCTAGGTGAACATGGTTGCAAATGAATGTGGTTAAAATACTTCCTCAGACTTCCTCAATCTTTCCCACACAATGCAGGAAGTTTGGAACTGGAGTTTGTAGACCAATGTATGGATGCTGAGTGTAGGATTATATCTCATCTTGGTATATAATAGCTGGGTCCATACACCAAGCTGAACCATGGATTGTTCACTTACAGAATGTTGAATAAGCTATAGGTGATAGGGTTTACATATACTGCTAAGTTATAAATCATGGTTTGTGAAGTACAATTGCTGGATTTATACCACATACTAAGCCATAACAAGTTTGTTTGCTTTTGGCTTTGCGTGTTGTATGAATCCAATCAATATATCAAAATTGAAGTACAATTTTTGTAGCTTTAATGCCATGCTGGCTTTTTCTCCTCCCCGTTTAGCCTGTTTTGCTAAACATCTAGCCTGATGAAGGTTTCTGAGAAGCATGAACCTTGGTCATTGGTCATCCTCTGATTAAAGTAACATAGCCAAAGCTCCATATTTAAAGGAAAGTTGCATTTTTAAGAAGGATATGAAAAATAAAAAAGCCCTGGGATTGATCCAGATATTTAGATTTCAGAAGAAAAAGAAAGAACATACTTCATTTTTCAAAGCAATAAAATGAAGAGAGAATTGAATGGTGATTTGGCCAAGACAACTGCCATACCTTCAGGATCAGGCAAAAGACAGACCCTGCTCAGAAACAGTGACAAGAAAGGGCTATTGCCCTGATGCCTAGTTTGGGGAACTACCAAATACAGATAGTTGGCCTGTGAGAAGCAGAACATTGAACAAGTTGAATCTCTGTTCTCTATGGGATTCCCAATATATCAAGAGATGTGGCTACATCTTAGCCCTGTAATCCTCCACTATAGTTGCATATGTGAGATACCTATTACCCAGATTCTGTAAATAAAGAATTCATTTGACACAACTTGGTAGGTAGGTAGGTAGATCCACATAAGCTTTTAATTACTAGAATCTGCTCCACAAATAACATGAAATGTTATCCATGAAGGTTTATGATAAGAATCGGCAATCTTTCACAGCCTGGCCCCCATGCCACAATTTTGTATGAGAACTGCATCACCAGAAGTTAAAGGAAAGAGGTCCTTTTAATCAATTTTGTAAGAATGGTGGGGGATTTTTATTTTATTTTTTTAATTTAAGGGAATGTCTCAGGTTGCTAATAGGATTATTTGTTAATGACATCATAATATGTTGATATAATAGACTAACATAACTCCCTTTCTGGAAATTGTTTGGGCTAGAAAATGGTTCACTTATGTGACAGATATACCAAATTATGCCGTTTCAGTCCAGCAGTTCATCAGTTTCTAGTGGCCAAGTATAGAACTGAATGCATTGTAAAAGAAAATGGAATAAGGGTATAGTACTGTGTTCACCCAGAGGATGCAGAAGTGGAATTGTTAGTATCAAGGTTACCAGAACTGCCAAGTCAGGAGAAACATTTTCATAACAGCTGGCAGGCCAGCCCAGCCTTTCCTCTGCGTAAAATTAAAACATTTTTCCTATTATTAGCATTGCATTGCAAGGGCTGCTGGAGGATTTGAAGCGGGTAAACAAAACCTCAGCCAAGGCAACATTAGCAGAACCTGTGGACATACCATTTGTATTCCTTCTCTGAATTCTGCTGCCCTTTTGAGGAATGTTATGTTTTTCTCACTCTGAAAAGGACCAGGAAATTGGGCTGCCCACACCAGAAGTTTAGCTCACTCTACTGCCAGCAGTAGGTTGATGCAACCTGTAGGCTGCAGCCTGCTTGCAGTTGTTTCATGCCCTAAAACTAACTGCTAACTCTATTTTATGGTTAGTATTGCTTAGACAACTCACTGGGGAAAAGGAGCCAGCTGGGTTGTATGCATTATCTGTCCTTATAAAGGGATGGATGTCAAGAAGAGTATGTACTTCTTGGAAAGACTCATTTTTCTTGTTTACTTCAGCTGGGTGCAGCATTGCTTGGAGGCAGCTGCAGAAAAAATTTTCTAGGACAGTGTAGGGTACACAGGAAAACTAGGAAATGGATTGCCTGGCGTGCTAAATAATGCAGGATACCTTTACCCTGTCCTCTAGATATGTTTGACAAGAACTGCCACCAATCCCCAGCCAGAATAACTAGAGATTTAATTCAGCATATCTGGAAGCCACCAACTTGGGGAGGGCTGTGGTAGGGAATGCATAATGCTGTGTGGTAGCTCTTCATTTTCTTAATCTGTTCTCCTTCATTGCTCACTCTGTTTGCGTGACCTTACTTTCAACTGATTTCCTGATTTGCCAACCCCAGCAGGTGAGTTCCCAGCTATATTTGCTCTCTGTTCTGTCTCCTGTCTTTTAAAATGGTTTTCCCACAGCCTTCTGCCACCTCTTTTAAAATTATAAATATGCAATGTAGAGACCTTTGTCATCTGCACCTGTTGTAGGGTATGAATTAGGTACCTTTGCTAGATGGAAAATACAGATTGTTCTTACGTTATGCCACCTTGGAAGTTATTCCTTCCAGGCCTGTTAACATATTGCAAGCAAGGGAGATATGCCCAGAAAAGGGATATCTGGTCACATTTGTTAAGAGTTCACATCCTGCTTTTTGGATGGAGTGAAAGCAGAGCCTGTTGAGTATTAATGTGTAGTTATCATCATGAGAAAAGCTGCTTAATCAAGCAGTTTTTTTATGATTCAGTGGGGACAGAGCTAGAATAGATGATGTTTCAACACTCAGAATCTCAAACTTGTTTCTTAAGAGCAGATGACACAATATATTATAGAACTGTCTTCTTTCTTCCATGTGCTTCTAAATATAACATTAGACACAAAATCTAGCATCCTAAATCTTGCTTTAACACACGGCAGATCCTTGGCCTGCATGCCCACCACCTCATTTGTGGCCTTCCTGCATGGAAGTACCAAAATGTTTGAATTTTGGTTGTGCATGTTGAGCCCAGTTTCAGAATGTGGCTAGTTAAGGGTGGGAATGGGTGGCTGCTTGCTCCTGTTTTCACCCTTAATCCCTCCCACAAAAATTGTTTTTTAAAAAATTGACCACATCCCTTCCGAGGGATGTCATAACATCATCGTACTTTATTGCCTCCTGGGTTCTTTCAGAAGGCCATGAGTCTGAATTGCATCCCCTGTTCCAAGAAACTTTGCCCGATCCTCCTCTAGGAAAATGATTTTGAATCTTGTGAGCTGTAAATATGAATATAAAGATTTAGCGTAGTAGTTAAGGTGCTGGCCTAGAAACCAGCACCTTAGGAGTGTGGGAGACTGAGTTCCAGGCCTCCCTCAGGCATGAAAGCTGGCTGGGTGACTTTGGGCCTGTCACTCTCTCTCAGCCCAACCCACCTCTCTCTCTTTCTCGCTCTCCCTCACTCCCTCACTCACTCACGGTATGATAAAGATATAATAAAAATAATAATACCTGGGGATAGCTCAAAAGCAGAGATCCTGTCACTATGACTACCAGAATGAGTATAAATTGTGCATAATATATATATTTACAAACATTGTATTGGTCATCCTTCTTAGTAACAAAATGGCTTCCTAACTGTTGCTCAGTACTTTGATTTAACATACAGAATGTGCATGATCTTCTGTGGTGTTATTTGTGCTGAGAATAAGAAAACTATAATGTAGACCTGAACAAGTTAAAATGCTTGGCTGTGACTTGAGAGCAATAATAGAGATTGGAAATAAGGCCTTTTATAATTGTGGGCTACACCATGTTTTTGTCATTGTGTGACTGACCCCCTGTTTGGGTTTTTGTTTTCATTCTTTTTAATAGATGATGCTTTCATCAACCCACAACTGCAAAAGATATTTGAACGTGTTCGCCAGAGTGCAGACTTCATGCCTTTTAAGCAAATGATGGTAAGACATTGGTTTAGGAACATGAGAGGTGAGAACTTGGGGACAGAAATAGAAATCAGGCCTTGCAATAGTGGCTCCTTATTCAGACTCTTCAGACTCTGGTATTCTTAGGCAAACGGGTAGAACACAGCATCTATTCTTGCTATGCTGTAGCCATAAAAGCTCTGCCTGCTGTTTTTTTTTTTTTTTTTAAGATTAGCACTCAACTTCATAAGGAACAATGAGGGGGCATATTGTGCAAGTAGGTAGCCATTGGCTTTTAAACACATTGTTGATGTTTGTTTAAAATAGTCCATATGCTATAGTATGTAAAAAAGCCTAATTGTAATTTCTATTTAGGTATGTAACTTTTTTGTTTTTCTTTTGCTGCTAGAAAACTTTGAACAATGATCTTGGGCCTAACTGGCGTGATAAACTGGAGTTTTTTGAGGAGCGACCTTTTGCTGCAGCTTCTATTGGACAAGTTCATTTAGCTCGTTTGAAGAACGGCAAAGAAGTTGCCATGAAAATCCAGGTGGGTCTGGTAGGCTTTAGTGTCATCATGTTCATCCTAACTGTGTATTCTGATAACATATATTTGTTTCACAGTAGTACTGCTGGTGTGACTAATGTTTTAGCTCTTTGATGGGCATACTGGTTGGAGGTTGCCAATGTTCCTAAGTTCTGCTACTATTTAGCCTTCTGATATTTGGGAAAAGTACCATACAAATTTCATATTAGAATTCAAAAACATATACATCTGTATACTTCCAATGAAATAAATTACTTAATCCATTAATATCTAAAGAAATTGAACCTTTTATTGAGGGTTGTTGTTTATAAGGCAGGCATTCAGTCACATCAGCTGACAGCACCTAGCTGGCATTGATTCCTCTTGAAAAAAGGTAAGGTTGGATCTGCTTAGACCTTTTTGGGAGACCACCAGAAAATTCCAGTGGCATAGATGAAACTGGCAAGTTGAAAAAACATTCCAGAAGAAGACAATGGGGAAACACTTTTGTATTGTTTGAAGAAAATAACACAAACATGCCCTGGTAGTGATCAGGACCTAAGTTCTACTTGATGGTTATTTCTCCTTTGACTCATTCATTTAAAACATTATGAAAAAGTGGTTTACCTTTTTCCTTACTTTTTAAAAAACAACAACAACTATCTTAACTTTAGAATAAGTGGTTGGGTTGTGCATTCCTTGTGTATATGGCAATAATTATTTGTTGCCAGTTGAGCATAGCAACTGCATTTGCCTTTTCCTTTTATGGTGAAGTTGGAGTGGGTGAGAGGAAATTAAACTTCTTTATTGGGCAGCTTGGTCTATGTCAGACTCATACCTCCACAGCTTGAGATCAACAGAGAGATGATTTTAGATGAGAAGCAATTCCTGCAATTTATTCTTGGGATATGACAATTGCAAGTGTATTAAATTTCCATGCTTGTTGATCAAACTGAGTATCTGAACTTGCATCTGGTATCTAATTCTGAGAATAATTCATGGGAAGCATTCTCTGTATGGAAATCCTGGCATTGTAGTAGGCATAATTTTTGATTCTCTCTGAGTTCATAAATTCCATCAGTAGCTGAAAGATAAGCTACATTGCCACTTGTTTTTCAACAGTCATTGGTTGTTTTTATTTTTTTAAACAATCTAGGTTAAAAGTGGAGGAAAGTAACTCTTCTTTCAGCTGTTTGTGTCAGTCTACCAGCTGGAGCAAAAGTATTGAAGTGTGAAGTTGGCTCCTGGCTCTTTCTTTAAAGAGAGGAGACAGCATAGTTATGGATTTATCTGGGTTCTGTACTTCAAGTTTTTGAGATTCAGGGTTTGGGACAATCTAAATAAGCATGGAAAGAGGAACTTTTCTTTAACTCAATATCTGTCCCTATAGTTACAACTTCCAAACACAGCATTTCCCTTACAAAACTGCATTATGGAAAAAGAGATTACTCTGATTACAATACAATCACTTCATTTTTAAAGGATTTTGTGCTGGCCCTTTGCTAATTGATATTAAATGCAAAAAGCCATTTTCCCCCCTGGCAGAACACATAATTTACAAACAAAGACCCTATGTTCCTTCTTATACCTCTCCAGGAAATAATGGGAAAGACTTTAATTTGTAACTCTGTTAGCAGTCCATATAGACATTATAAAGCTAGATTGGCCAATGATCAGAGTTGGTAGAAAGCAGACTTCTATGATCCTTTGATTTCTTTCCTATACTGGACCCAAACTATTATTATCATTCTTTAGACTTAAAGTGAAGAACAATATTTAAGTTATGTAGGTGCCTAATTAAATGCTTTAATTGGGCAAGAAAGCAGTCTATTTAGGCAGGAATGGCCTTCCAAATGTTGGGACCACATCTGTCTTTACTATTGAACATATTGGCTGGGACTGCTGGGTTGTGGCTCTGCACTATCTAGAAGGCCACAGATTTCCCACCACTAGTTTAGAGGGTATTAGGATTCAGAATCAGTTCTCTTCTCATCATTGATCTTATCTCTCTTGCAGTATCCTGGAGTGGCCCATAGTATTAACAGTGATGTCAGCAATCTGATGACTGTCTTGAGTATGAGCAATGTTCTTCCAGAAGGTAAAATTGTTTGAGAGGGAGGGAATATTAGGCTTCCAAAGTTTGTGTTGAAAGAGTTGATGGGAAGCTTCTAAGCAATGCTGCTAGAACATATTGTGGAATTGGGAAAGCCTCTATGTTCTTGAGAAGTGCTTCCCACTGTTGCCAACAGCATAACAAGGTGAGGAGATTTGGATGGGCACCACACTGTTAGCCTTCTGTAAAACACTTAAAATCTGGCTGTTCCTATAGGCATTTGGGTGAGGATGTTAATGAGATCTGCTAGTTGGTTGTGTGATTGGTTTTATTGCTGCTTTTCGTGGTAAATTGGGAATATTTTTTCTTGACCCTGAACCTTGGTTATGTGAATTATTGGCTGATTGTTTTATTGTTGTTTTAACCTTTTCTGTATCACCCAGAATAATCACAATGAGATGGGTGGCCATATAAATTGTTCAAACAAACAAACATATTTTAATATAAAAATTAAGAGGCCATGGGCTGTTTATGGTTTTAGCCTCTGTGTACTGTGCCTTATATTTTATGTATCCGAAAAATGACATCTGTGGAAGAACCCAGCATTCATGCTTGGTTTTTAAGTATGCAGAGAGAGAGAAAGAGAGGATGAGAGAAAGATTAGCTTGTTGTGTAATATAATATTCTGTCTTTGTGCTGTTGGCAATCTGTGGACTTTTTCTGCTCAATTGTGAATACTGAACACAGTTCCGTACCTCTATTTTGTAGCTTTCAGCAATTTTGATATTGAAGAGGTGGGATAAAATGACCTCCAGCTCTTTGTATGTGTTGTTTCCTCTTCTTACGAGGAAGATAGCCAATGCCTTCCCATACTTTCCCTATGTACTCCAAACCGAGGGTGGCTTTAATCTCATAGTAGTTATAGGCCAAGATGGCAGCCTTAACCAGCTTCTTTCCCCTTTTCTTTTGCATCTAGGTCTTTTCCCTGAACACCTGATTGAAGTTCTAAGGAGAGAACTGGCCCTGGAATGTGATTACAAGAGAGAAGCTGCCTGTGCCAAGAAGTTCAGGTGAGGTCCTCTACTTCTCTTTGTTCTTGTTCTTCCTCTTTTAGGAAGTGTTATTGGTGAGGTACAGTAAGATAAAGGGGATGTGGTGGCACAGCAGCTTAATGACGCTGAAAGTTGCCGGCCAGAAATGGTCGACACTTCAGCG